CCCCCTCTCCCCCTCTCCCGCTCTCCCGCTCTCCCCCTTTCTCTCTCTTTCTCTCTCAACGGACTCTCTAATATGATGTTCAGACTGATCATGAATTCCTGGGGTCAAGCGATCTTCCCACACTAGCCTTCCTTATAACTGGGACTATAGGCATGCATCACAGTGCCCAACTTGGAACATACTATTTTTTGGAGATGGGGCCTCACTATGTTGCCTAAGCTGATCTTGAATTTGTGGGCTCAAGTGATTTTTCTTGCCTCAGCCTCCCAAATAATTAGGACTATGGGTGTGTGCTACTGTATCTGGCTTAAAGTTTTATTTAATCTGTAAAAACTATAGAGAATAGTTTTTCTTCATGGAATTAACTTTAGTCAGTAGATGCTAAAGAATAGTTTTTTTTGGTACCAGGGATCAAACTCAGGACCTTGTGCTTGTGAGGTGGGCACAGTGCCACTGTCCCTGGCCCAAGAATGGTTTTCTGACTAGTTATTTAGGCTTTTTGTTATTAGTAAATGAAATGCAAAATTTGTTTATAAAGATATAATTATTTACTTTTGTAAATAAAATATCAATGCAGAACAATTTCCTATGTAAAATCTAAAAAAAAATAGCTGTTTGAGCTTGCATCAGTTTTACAGAGCAAGGAATTTAATAGATGCCAAATTCATAGCATTCTAATTTACCTTAATTTATCTATCCACTAAAGTTTGCTTCTCTACAGTTGTGACGAGTGTCAACTTTCTCTGATTTAACTTTTTTAAATGATCATTTTGAGTACACATTTGGCTTTCTTTTGTTAATTTGGCTGTTTTGTTTGGAACCCAGGGCCTTGCGCGTGCACATTTGGCTTTAAAAAAAAATTATGTTTCTGTGCTCTGGTTTATTAAGTTATTCTCTGACTTCAAAAAATAACTTTCAGTCTGGGCATTTAGCTCAGTGGCACCATGCGTACCTCAAAGTGTAAAGCAAGGTCATGAGTTCCATCCCTGGTACTGTAAAACAAAACAAAACAAAACAACAAAAAAACCACTTCCTCTCTCAGGTTTCCCTTTTGAATTAATTTTATCAAAAGGATATATTCTCTCAGTTACCTAGCGGTCTATTTCCTAAGTATTATTATTATTATTATTGTTATTATTATTATTATTATTATTATTTTTGCTACCAGGGATCAAACTCGGGACCTTGCACTTGCCAAGGAGGCACTGTGCCACTGAGCTAAATCCCTGGCCCGTATTCTAAGTATTAAAATCCATTAATCTTTTTTTCTGTTATCTTTTTTAACATCCATTTCATGGTTTATTTGGGCTGCTGTTAATAAAATAGCATAAACTGGATGGCATATAAATAACAAACAATTTTTCAGTCCTGGAGATTAAGAAGTCCAGGATCAAGATGCTGGCAGGTTTCAGGGTCTGGTGAGAGTCTGCTTTCGTGGTTCATAGATGGCCTCCTTTCACTGTGCCCTTGCATGGTGGAAGGTGCTAGGTCTGGGGTCTCTTTGAGCACTAATTCCACTCATAAGTGCTTTGCCCTCATGACCTAATCATCTTTCAAAAGCTCCACTTCTTTTTTTTTTTTGGTACTGGGGATCGAACTCAGGACCTTGTACTTGCGAGGCAGGCGCCTGAACCACTGAGCTAAATCCCAGGCCCTTTCCACTTCTTATATTAGCATATTGATGTTTAAGGTTTAACATATTAAGTCGTGTGTGTGTGTGTGTGTGTGTGTGTGTGTGTAATACAACTACCAGAAATTTCAACTTACAGCCACAGCTAATTAGGCTATCTTTTTCTAGTCTATAGGAGTTTTGTTGAAATTTCTGGCTCATGAAAAATTTTAATAGAATATAGTGAAGATTTAGCTTTGTATTTCTTAATCATATATCTGTTTAAAGAATGAACATTTTCATATTTTTGTGTTGCTTTTAGTTCTACATTAAGATTGTACATCTATACCATTCATTTTTCTGCTTCTAAATCTGTTTGTACCTTACAAAAGAGTGCCTATAGTATTTCTCCATTGACTTTCCTGAATCTTTACTTCCAGTTCTTTATGTATATTCCCACTTGTGCTACATTTGTGAGACCAGATTGGATCCCAGGGAGTCCTCTATTTAGAAACAGAGTTTTTCCTTATTCAAAAATTCTAGCCCAGATTTTCTTGTAGCATAGTTTTTGGTCTCCAGCCACTGTGTGTGCTCTGCCCTCAGGTTATTCTTTTTGTTTTTCTAGATGCCTGGGATAGTTCCCTTTTCTGCCTTCCCATATCAAATAGGACCAATTGAATGAGGTGTCACTCTTCTTTTGAAACGCATTCCCAGACACTTATCTCTTCTTTTTGGAAGTCTTTTTTGTTTTTAAAATTTTTGGGAAAGTCTTGTTTACTGTCTTATTCCATTATAATACTAACTGTATCATATTATGATTATATGTCTGGCTTTGCTTCTACATTATTAATTAATTTCTTGATTGGGAGCTGTGTTGTGTGGGTATTTTTCCCCCTGTCTCCAGAGATATACCTATTAGTAATTATAAATGAGAATGACTAAGAGATTGGCTTTTGGCCTAAAAATAGTTCTTACATTTTAAGAAAGTAGAGACCATGTATATGGCCCCTAATTTTATTAGCTACATGTTGAATTTTATTTAGTATACTATGTGAATGTTAAAATTTTAACCATTTTAGTGTGACAGCATACATTTTTTATTATAGTGGACTTGTATTCTTAATGTAATTTTACTTGATCTTCATGAATTACTTTTTAATGAGATGGGATGGTCTCTTGTAAGGTTTCATCAAATATTTTTGTGTTGTTATTGATGAGAGTAGCCTTTATTCTTTTTTTTCTTTGTTCTTAATGTTTTGGTATATAACAAAGTGTCTCAAGTTTAGTGATGTGAAATAAGCACCATTTTATTTGACTTAATGATTCTTTGGGTCTAGAATTCAGACAGAACTAACTAGGAATTACTTGTCTCTGCTCTGTCATGGCTGGGGCCCTAGTTGGGATAGATGGACTGCCTCTAAGTAACATTGTTAGTGATCATAATTACCTGGAAGTTCTTCACTCATGGTTGGTACATAGTGTATAATAAATGAAAGATTTAGCTCAGCCAGAACTACTTGGAGTACCTACAAATGGCCTTTCCATGGCCCTAGACTTTTTACATTATAGCTTTTGGGTTTGGAGATACTGTATTGAGGGGTAATGTCCAGTTTGCTAATGGTCCAAGGGGTAATGTGGATGCCTCTATCACAGTCTCATAATATACTCTTTTGCTATTTTTTTCCCTGTTTCACATTAAACGAAAACTTGAAGCACATTTCTTTTGTAAATTGTATTGGTTAACATATACTAACTCTTGTAAAATACAGGAAACGATTCGATTGTAGAAATTATGTTAGTCAGCTTTCCCTTACTATAACAAACATCTGAGATAATCAGCTTATAATTTGGAAAGGTTTATTTTTATGGCTTGGAGCTTCAGAAGTTTCAGTCTATACAGTACTCATTTGCCCCTGTTGCCTTTGGGCCTGTGGTGTTATAGCATATCATGGAGGGGAATCTGTGATGGAATAGGCTGCTTACCTCATGGCACCTGGGATCGATAGAGACTGGTGACACAGTATCTATCCCCTTTGAGGGTTTGTAACCAACAACCTAAAACCTCCCACTAGTTCCCACCTCTTAAAGTTTACACCACCTTCAGCATCAAGCTGAGGACTAAGCCTTCAATTAATTCATGGATCTTTGGGGGATATTCCAGGTCCAGACTATAGCACCAGTAATTTTTAAAGAGTGAATCTGGCAGTTTTTAGTATATTTGTGGAATTGTGCAGCTGCCATCACCATCTAATTTTAGAAGAATTTCAATATCCCAGAAAGAAACCTCATATCTATTAGCAGTCACTTCCCCTCCCCAGGGTAGGCCACCACTGACCTATTTCCTCTATTTTTTGTCTATTCTGAATATTTCATATACTTGGGTCATGGAATTTATGATTCTGTACGAGTGGTTTCTTTTGATTTCTTTCTTTTTTTTTTTTCTTTTGGTACTAGGGATCGAACTCAGGACCTTGCTTGTGCTTGTGAGGCAGGTGTTGCAATCACTGAGCTAAATCCCCGGCCCCAAGGGTTTTTTTCCCCCCCTTTTTCTTTTTTTCGGTACAGGGAATTGAACTCAGGACCTTGCACTTGTGAGGCAGTCACGGTGCCACTGAGCTAAATCCCTGGCCCTCTTTTGATTTCACATAATGCTATCAAGGTTCATTCATGCTGTGGAATGTATTATAACTTAATTCCCCTTGGTCAAACTACTATATGTACAGATATAGCACTTTTTTTTTTTTTTCCAGAACCAGGGATCAAACTCAGGACCTCTTGCTTGGGAGGCAGGCACAGCATTACTGAGCTAAATCCTTGGCACCGGATATAGCACATTTTGTTTATTCATTTGTCCCTTGATGCACATTTGTGGTGTTGTCACTTTTTAGCTATTTTGAATAATGCTGTACAGTGTTTGTTTAAACATAAGTTTTCATTTCTCTTGTGTAATAAATGCCTGGGAATCATATGATAACTATATTTAACTTTTTGAGGAGTTGCCAAACATTTTCCAAAGTGGTTACACCATTTTACATTCCCACCATCAGTATTTTGAGTGTTCCATTTATCCACATATTCCGTAATGCTTGTTATTGTCTTTATTTTTCTATTATAGCCATTTTAATGTATGTAGAGTGGTCTCTCATTGTGGTTTTGATTTGCATTTCTTTGATGTCTGTTGTTGTTGTGAACCTTTTCATGTGTTTATTGGCCATTTATGTACTGCTTTTATAGAACTGTCTATTCTGATTCTTTGCCTATATTTTTAATTTTCAGTTGGGTGGTTTAGCTTTTTGATCTGTGAACAAATCCCAGATATATGATTTACAAACAATTTATCCTGTTCTTTGGATTATCTTTTCATTTTCTTGATGGGATCCTTTGAAATGCAAAGGGCTTTAATTTTGAATATGGTGAATTAATTTTTTTCTTTTGTTGCTTTTGCTTTTGGTCTAGTATCCTAAGAAGGCTTTGTCAAACACAAGATTATGAAGGTTTAATTATATGTTTTTTCTTAAAAATTTTACAATTTTAGATTTTACATTTAGGTCTTGTTTCATTTTAGTTAAATATTGTGTGTACTGTGTGAGATAGGGTCCAACTTCATTCTTTCTTTTGCATGAGGATATGCAATTGTCCCAGGAGCATTTATTGAAAAGACTGTTTGTTCTCTGTTGAATTATTTTGGCATCCTTGTTGAAAATTAGCCTGTACTTATGCCAGTATTACATTGTCTTGATTACTGTAGCATTGTAGTAAGTTTTAAAATCATGATAAGTGGGTCTTTCAGATTTCTCCTTTTTTAAAGTTTCATTTAGCTATTCAGGATCCCTTACATTATCATAATAATTTTAGGATCATCTCTTTTAATTGTAAATAAGCCAGCTGGGATTTTGATAGTAATTACACAAAATCTGTATATCAGTTCAAGAGTATTGTTGTCTAAAAATATTAAGTGTCCAGATCCATGAACTACTTCTTTTATTTAGTCTTTAATTCACCTTTCTTACTTATATAGGATTAATGCTCACTGTTGAAAAATACTGTTATTTTGTTTGTATTTTTTTCATTGACCCAGGCATTTACTCTTTAAAAAATTTTAATTCTATTGCAATATTAATATTTATTCATTTTATTGTACTTCTTATTAAAGTCCATAAAGTATATATCAATAGTTTTCAGTGTGATACTTCAGCATATCCATGCCATGCAAGATAATCAAATCCAGCCTCCTTTTAACTACTCTTTTCTACCTCCACCCTTCCCAACCTCCAGTAAATCACTATTCTACATTTAGATCCACTTTTAAAATATTTAATACAGTATCTTAGCCCAAAGGAAATATAGGTATGACTTTTAGTACTTTCTAGAATATTTTTGAAGACATTAATGATTATGCTTTAGAGAATTGAGTACCATGCCTAAGATTATTTTAATGTAAAATAAATAGAAGATTGTCATTTTATGCTATGAGGCAAAATGTTTTCTGAATTTGATTCTAGTTTATTGTTAAAATTGAACTTTGAACATCATTCTACAAATATGTTTATTAGTTCAAGGTAATGTGATAGTACATACAATGTTTAGGTTTATATCTTTCATTAGTCTTAATTGATTCTTAGAACATTAGAAGACGCTAATGATTTCTTTAAAAAATTTTTCCCCTCTACTGTAGTCGGTGGTAGATGATTGGATAGAAGCATACAAACATGACCGAGATATAGCACTTCTTGACCTTATCAACTTTTTTATTCAGTGTTCAGGCTGTAAAGGTAAGATGTATTTATTTTGGAAGTAGAAGGTCTTAAATAGTCATTTCTCTTTGTTTCTCCTAAGGAGGGAGGTGTTAGCTCTTTATAAGGAAAATAATGTCAAGGTAGTGAATTATTTTCATTATAGCCATCAAAATGCATGAGGAAAAAAGTGAAGAACAAAGAGAGAATGCCTATTGACAAAATCATACTTGTGTGAAATTTATCTAAAAACTTGAGAATTTATAATTGCTGTTATTTTTATTAGATATATTTCCCACTTTCAGCATCTGGTTTTAGGAAAAAAAGAAATTGATTAAGAAGAGAGGAGGAACGTTATGAAGAAATAGATTTAAATGGCAGGGAATTGTAAAGTGTAGGAAATTAGAAAGTGCCATGAATAACAGTAAATAAGAATGTAGTTCAGTTACAGAAATTTGCTAGGTATTTTTCTAAAAGGTGGAAAAATATGTGCTTGTTAGTGGGGTCTTTAAAGTGTTTTTACTAAGATTTTGAAGTAGGAGTGGGGAAAGTACATAATACAGTAATTTCTTCCCTAGGACAATAATATTTAGGACAGGCATTTGGCAGTGGGACAGAATTAGGTAAATGTAAATGTAAATGAGTAAATGAGTCAGTCAAGATCATTGGTATGTTCTGATATATCATGTGTCTCTTAATACTTATAGCTCATCCTTGAAATTCTAGAGGATGACCAGGCAAATACAGTTTAGGGAGTTTTCAGGAGTATTAGTTTTAATGAAAACTATACCAAAAATTTGGCCATTAGAAATTGGGAGAGAAGGTTTATTAAAATAGAATTGAGATGCTAGAAAATGACTTATTTAAAACTTTTTTAAGAATTATAAGGTAGAGTTTAATTCTTAATAATCCTAAAATCCTTGCAGTGGGCTGTAAATGATGTAAGTAGTACTGTAAACAGGATAAATGTAAGTAGTAAGTTGTAGGTCACACCCATCCAGGAGCCTGTAATCCAGTTGAATATTAAAAATAAAGAACAAGAAGGTGACAAAAGAAAATAAACTATTAAAAGTAGTATAAAGTATGGCAAAGTTTTGAAGAGATAACATATGATTATAGATCAAAATCAAAAACCCTTCTCAAGATTTTGAGAATTATTTCTTTAGCCAGAGAATAATTGAACTTTCTTCTGAATTCATCAAGATATTTTTAACAATCATTTGATTTTTTAAGGTTGTGGTAAGTAAGGACTCTTCTCGGGTACCATTAGAATTGATCTTACCCAGAGGTGGCAGCATGATGTAGGTAAATAATCTTGGACAAATTATGTAGTTTCTAGCTCCTTTCACTTTGCCAATTGGACGTAAATTTTTATTGGTCATTCAAGTGACAAAGAAAATATCTTTTTAAAACTTGAGCAAACAATGTTTTGTCTTGTAACCTGTCAGAGGAAGAAGATTGAAGAAAAAATTATGTAATTTTTCTTAGCTTTAGTGTCCTCATCTGTGATCATAGCTTTACACCTGTGTATGTATGTATACAAACACTTGCACACAAATATATGCATCAAACAAAATGTACCTCTGGCCAATTGAAAATCTATTCTACATTTAGTTCTTATAACTCTTCTGTACCAGTGCATTATTTGTTGTTACATTTATGGTACTTGTAGGGATGTTTTTTAAGTAACTACACAGTCCACCAATAAAAATACATTCTTTTGAAAATCCAGTGTTTTCATTTAGATCCCTCTCCTTTTGCCAGTGGAAGTTCAGGTACATCTTCTTGCATTATCTCCTAACATAACTTTTCCCTAGAAATCCCTTTTTTAATGTTTGATCTTTGCTTGGCTATTTATACTACTTATAATGTCTGCCCCTCCTTCTTATTCTTTCATGACTCTAATAAATAGTTCTCTCTTTTTTCCTGAAATAGTTCTTAATTCTGGACTTTACAGCCCCTCTCCCAATCTGAGGTTAGCATTTCTTCACATTACCATTCTTCAGGGCACTTACAGTGTGTATCCTTTAATAGTTTATTTTCTTTTTGTCTCTTTCTTGTTTTTTAACACTTAGATTATAGGCTCCCATATGAGCAAGACCTACAACTTACTTAGATGATTTAAAGCCTGTTGTGAGGATGTTAGGATTAGTTGTTTACACATAGTAGTGCTTAATAAAGAAACCTAGCTAAAAAGAACTGTATTACCTTTTTCCCTGTCAACTTCACATTCATTTTCAAGGGTGTGTTTGTGTGACAGTACTGGGGACGGAACCTAGGGCCTTCTGCGTACCAGACAATCATTCTACTACTGAGCTACAAACCCAGGCCTCAGGAATTTAAATGTTACCCTGGATGCTGCCTCACCCTTGATAACATATGGTTTATGTAAAAAAGGCAAAGCTGGGTAGAGGCAACCTTCCATATGCCCCATCTGTGGGTATTTAAAATACATATTAGAAAAAAAATTATGTACTGAACGTGTACAGATTTTCTCTTGTCATTATTCCAAGACAATACAGTATAACTATTTAACATTTACATTTTATTGGATGAAGTATGGAACTGTTCTCTTGTACATGTTGATAGTAGCATTTGTTGGTGCTTTATGCATTTCGGTATTGTCTTACTTTTCTTGTTGATGAGACAAAATATCTAACACCCAAAGTTAAAGCATGAAAAGTTTATTTAGCTCACAATTTGTAGAGGTTTCAGTTCATAGTTGGCTAGCTCCAAAGCAGAGTAGCATGGCAGAGTGGCATTCCATAGGAGAAACAGTTCATGGCAGGCAGAAGGCAGTGAGCAGCAAGCAATAAATGGCAATAGCAACTTCTTTCTATGACTATATTTTAATCTAGGCTACCCACCCTTAGGGTGGATAGCACTCACACCTAGAACGGTACAAAACAATCAGTGGACTAATTTAGTAATTACACAACTTTAATCGCAGTAACACACTCTCTAGATCCTGCCACCTTAGAAAAAGCCCAACCTGTGACTGCCTGAGCCTTTGAGGGGCTATCTAGATGTAAGCTATAACATTCTGCCCCTGGCCCTTCAGAGACTCATGCATATCCCTTTATGCAAAAGTGATTTAGTCCATCTCTAAGAGTTGCCAAAGTCATAACACTTTTAACATTGTTGAAAAGTCTAAGTTCAACATCTCCTCTGAGGATTAAGGCAAACTTAGCAGCTAGCCCCTGAAATGAAAAAATTAAACAGTTCCAACATACAATGACACAACATAGACATTTCCATTCCAAAAGGTACAAAGAGGGGAACAGAAAGAAATGAAAACAAAGCAAGTCCAAAATCCATCAGGGTAAACATTAAATTCTGTATTTCCATGTCCAACATCCCTGGAAATCTATGGCAAGTTGTGAATTCCAAAGGGCTTGGGTGGCTCTGCCCCTAGGGGACTGTGGTTGGTTGTAGCTTCCCAGGGCTTCTCTCTTGGGCTGACTCTGCTCCCTTCTTAAAGTTTTCCTCAGACGATCCATGTTCCTGCCTTCTCCAAACTTCCAGGATCTCCACTGTACTGTTGGCTTCCCACTCATAGCTTCACACATTGCTCTCTTAGGGGCAGGCTACCTGGCCTCCCGGACCTTCTTCTGAAATCTGGGTGGAAGTCTTCTTGACCCCACACCTCTTTTTTTTTTTTGGTGCCAGGGATCGAACTTGGGACCTTGTGCTTTCAGGGCAGGTGGTGGAACCACTGAGCTAAATCTCCAGCCTGACACCTCTTACTTTCTGCTTGCACCTAGAACCGTCATCACATGGATGTTGTCAAGGACTGCTGCCAGCTGGAGCAGTAGCCAGGATTCTTTCTCTTTTGACTGTAGGGGTCGAGTGCCTGGCTCGCTGAGTATTCTAAACCCAATCCCAGGAAACATTCTCTAGGCCACTGCTATTCTGGAACCTAGTGCTCTGGGGCTTTCTTCTCAAAGCAAATTCTTTCACCTTTGTAATCTTGAGGCTGCAAAGGCTGGAATCTTGCTGCTTTTTTTGGTGTCCTCAGGCCGTCTTTTTCATTGTCCTGTTCTTTCTCCATAGTCAAATTCTCCTTTACTTTGTAGTCCAAAGCTTTACTGGAGCTTCCTGGACAAACTCACAACTTTTAAAATCATTCTGCGGGGCTCTTTACTCTTGATTCTCAACGTAAATCTGGCTTAAAGCCCCTAGCATTAATCATGCCACTGCCTCAACTTTAGACTGCCTTGAAATTTGTTCTTCCAGATTAGTCTACAGTCATTAGTTTCAGTCTCAGGAAAAATCTCTGGATAAGAGTAAAATGCAGACAAACTTTCTGCTAAAGCATAGTGTCCATCATCTGAAGCCCAACAGCCAGTACAGTCCTTCTTCCCAGCAGAAACCTGAGTGTGATCTTTACTTACAGCATTTATTTCAGCATTCTGGTTTTCTGAGCTCTGATCTGAATCTCCCATCAAGTAAAGCTTAAGGCATTCCAGGGCTGCTGCTTCAGCCAGCATCTCCAAACCTTTCCAAACTGTTCCCACAAGCTAGTATCAAAGGCTCCTGAACCACATGGTCAGGTGTGATTACAACAATGACCCAACCTCTGGTACCAAATTCTGTCATGGTTAACTTTTCTCATTGATGAGACAAAATATCCAATGCCTATAGTTAAAGGAGAAAAGGTTTATTTAGCTCACAATTTCCCTTTTCTTTTTTTGTTTTTTTTTGTTTTTTTTTTGGTACCAGGGATTGAACTCGGGACCTTGCGCTTACAAGGCAGGTGCCGGAACCACTGAGCTAAATCACCAGCTTTAGCTCCCAATTTGTAGAGGCTTCAGTTCATAATTGGCTAGCTCCAAAGTAGGATTGCATGGCAGAATGGCATTGCAGAGGAGAAACAGTTCATGGTAGGCAAAAGGCAGCAAGCTACAAGCAACAGGTGGCAATAGCAGCTGCTTTCTGTCACTTTATATTTTATCTAGGCAACTCACTCTTAGGGCAAGTAGCACTCACACCCAGAATTATGCCAGTCCAATCATTGGACTAATTTAGTAATCATACACCCTTAATCCCAGCATCACACATTCTAGATCCAGCCACCTCTGAAAAAGCCCTACCTATGACTGCATCAGGCTTTGAGGGTACATCTAGATACAGTGCATAACAAGTATCATTATAAACAGAATGAGGAAGAATGCCTTTATTGTGTGACCATACACCTCTTAAAGTTAGAAGCTGACTTAGAAATTCTTTTTTTTCATTATACTGTGTATTAATTTCTGACACTTGGAAATTTCAGGAGTTGTCACAGCGGAAATGTTTAGGCATATGCAGAACTCTGAGATAATTCGAAAAATGACTGAAGAATTTGATGAGGTAAATTCTTATCCTGAATGTTTTGATAATTTTATATACATGTTGATCTTAACTTACACTTTAATTTTTTGATCTTGATTTATTCTTGAAAATATAAATTTTAAGTATGTAAACTTTGGTACTAATCAAAAGATCTTTGTGTGACCTTGAGCAAGTTGCCATGGGATTGGTTTCATCTGTAAAAGGTTAATAGTTTAATAGTTTAATAGGTTAATAGTTTTCTTATAAAGTTAGGAGAAATATGTGAAAATGGTTTACTATTTTCTTAATTCCTGGCACATAGCAACAACTCAATAAATATTAACTATTTTATTGTAATAAATTTAATATTCAAGGAACATTAATTAGAACATCCCAGAATATTGGGAAGATTTGGGCAGTATTTTAGGAACCAGGTAGCTTAGTTAAAAGAAATATTTATTTTTATATATACATATATCTTTTTATTGTTTAAAAAGTCCTTTGTGTTGCAGTTTTGAATGGTAAGAGCAATAATGGAAATACTAGTTTAGAATTCACCTGAATATCTCAGTGAATGCTTTGAAATATTGTTACCAATAAGTATGTTTTTATAGATTTACTAGACTATGAGCTTTTTCAGGGCAGGGATTTTTATTTGTTTTTTTCACAGTAGTGTTGCAACACTAGCAGTTATGCTTCCAAAACCTTTCACTGTGAATTTTCAAGTAGTACATCCTGTCTCACTTGGGTTTCATATGGTCATTTTTTTTCCTTGCTCTGTAACGAAGGAGTTTTCAACTCATTCTAAAAGATACATGAGTTAATAAAATGGCTTTGATGATTACTAATTGCTATTAATCGGTCCCCAAGTAGTTGAGCGGTAATTATGCATAATGGTATTTTTTAACCTTTTAATATTAAATGTTTTAGTAAGAACCTTCTCAGGGGAAACAAGTATTCGAAATAATCATTTTAAAATACTATTTGAAAATCTCAGCAAAGTTGCTAACAAAAATTAAGGTGATATATTTCAGTGTAGTCAATAAATGTGCTTATCAGAAAATGTGGGGTTTAGGATTGAAAAGCTCAGTGATCGTATTCATACTTAGCATATGTAAAACCCTGGATTTATTCCCTAGGGTCCCCCCCTCCTCCTTTGAACCTTTTTGCGGAATATATTAGGACCTTATTCTCAGACACAGTTCAATTTACAAATGACATGAATTAAAATTTTAAAAATTTACTTGTGACAGAAATAGTTAAAACTTTACTGAACAACTGATAAAATATCCTTAGGTGACTTTTGTCAGACCATGACTTGAAAATTATAGTACTGGTCTTGCTTTTTTAAAGGGTGGATTTATTTGATTGATTGATTGTAGTGCTGGGGATCAAACCCAGGGTCTTGTGGATGCTAAGCGTGTACTCTACCACTGAGATACAGCCTCAGCCCTGCATTTCTTTTAAAATTAATGTGATTGTTGACTTAATGGTGTCATGAAGCTAATGAAAACATACACCAAACCATTTGTTGATTGATTCTGTTAGACTAGCTGAGAATATGATTTCAATATGTTGAATTACTTTAAAGATACTATTTTGGTTTACTTTTGTTTTAAAGAAATTTAATAAATATGTTTGTCTTTATCAGAAAAGTTTCACTTTGATGAGGGAAGATTTTAAAACATTAACTTCAAAAATTAGTGATGTATAATTTTATTAGTTAAAATGAATTTAGAATATTTAGTTTGGTTTTAAAAAAGCAAAAGTGTTCAAAGGTACCTCTACCTTTGTGTATTCTCTTGATTGCTTTGAGGATTCATTGGAGAAACATAAGATAAAGGAATCTAGTCATACTTTTTCCTAAGGTATATAAGAAAAGTGGAATCTTATGCCATGTATTTTAAACGAATTTGCTGTTTAACATTTTTGTTTTAGGATAGTGGAGATTATCCACTTACCATGGCTGGTCCTCAGTGGAAGAAGTTCAAATCCAGCTTTTGTGAATTCATTGGTGTATTAGTACGGCAATGTCAGTATAGTATCATATATGATGAGTACATGATGGATACAGTCATTTCACTTCTTACAGGATTATCTGACTCACAAGTCAGAGCATTTCGACATACAAGCACCTTGGCAGGTCAGTATTTTTGAGTATTTACTGTGTATTGCTTTTGGTTTGTGATGGAAAAAACATTCTCATGAAATGAGGAAGGAAATAATAGTGACATGAGTTGATTTTTTTCTTGTAGTAAACCTACTTAGTTATTCTGTCACAGCAAGGGAAAATTGGTTGATGGGGATATGTTGGGTTCTTGAAAGATGTTTTATCAAGGAAAATATCAATAGCAAATTTGGGTAGATTGTCACAATTTGGAGATGTAGTCTCGATGATCTTATTGTTTGCCACACACACACACACACACACACACACACACACACACACACACACACACACACACACACAC